GTCTTCATTGACATTGATCATGAAGGAATGTGTTCAGCAGCTGCATGATGTTGTGTATAAGATGTAATTGGTGTAGAATTAAAAGAATGGTGCCATGATCCATGCCACTCATTGAGACTTCATGTAAATATGTACTGCCAAATTTATCTCAAATTATATTCGGCTGACACTAACTGTCATAAATATATGCAAGTCTCTTAAGGCATTTGACTTGCTTCTGTATGATGCTGATTACAGTAGCAGTGTTATGGACCTGATACAATACGTAAAATGGATTTCAATTGCACTCACCAAAACTAAGTGCCAGACGTCATCAGAAAACGATGTTCACTTGTGGTTTTGGTTGTGGGTTTGTGGTGGCTTTTTTTGGGTGGAGGGTGATTATGCATCTGTTCTTGACATGATGCTACTCAATTCTTTCTTAATTTAGAAGACTGCAGGCATTGTACGGAAATACTACAAATACTGAAGTAATTTGTGTCACATGAAGAGAGACTCTTCTAGAAACCAACTTTGATCATGCGTTAGGCTACATTCATTTGAGCAACACATTTTAACATGGCTCAGTGGAAAGTCACAGCTAGGAGCTGTGAATATAGGTCACTCGGGATAGGAGACTGCATTGTGGAAAGCATTGACTCAGAAAATGATTCGGAGCTCTGATGTATTACTGGTTGAGCATGAAATTGCAGTACAATGCAGTGGCTTATGGAATAAATGCTATCTTTGGGTAGCTTAGCAGGGTTATATTATTAACACTATATAGTATTAGAGGGACAATTACAGGAATATTATGTCCTGTTCTGGGGACTGTTTTTAAAAACAGTGCTGCCAAGCTGGAAAGATAGTAAGACAGCTGGAGAATGGCTATAGCTCTGGCTAGCATAACTTACACTTTACCTTGGTGCTTTAGTTTCAGTATGATTAGTGTTTACATTTCTGTGTTGTATAAGATGTTTGGAAGAAGATTCCTTTATTTAGCAGAAAGATCATGAGATTCAGTAGCTGAAAGCAAAACTAGGCAATTTTATTAGGGAAACTTTTTTTACTGAGGGCTTGGGAATGCGTTGGGTTTTTCTAACGTGTTGTCTTCAGAGTCCTGGTACTCTTTCAAATGAGCTGTCTAGCTCAGCCAGAAGCTATGATGTGGATTTACCACTTGGTGAAATTTCACGGGCTGTATTACAGAAGAGAACAAGCTAAATAATCACAAGGATCCCTTTGAGAGAGATATGCAGCTAGTGGGCGAGGAAGAGGAGGGAAGGAGAGAAAGCAAGAAGGAGTTATTGTGGTGAAATGTTGAGTCAGTCCCTTAACCACAGATGGCCTGGGGGACCCGTTAATGGGTCCTATCCTTCCCGAGGGTCCAGGCTCAGCTAGGAAAACTGAGGTGACTGTACAATGCTCATAAAAGGGAGGCTGGAGCAGCACTGGTGCAGTGGGAAGAGACCAAATTCTGTGCACCTGGGATCTGTTGTTACCATCACTCTGCTTTCAATTTTGACTCTGGAGAATTTTGTTTGCTTACATGCTTCTTACCTATTGTTCATTACCTTTGCCTTCTGCTTACCGAATGCCTGCCTCCTTTCCCTCCTCCCCTTCATCTTAGCTCACACTTGCTCCTATTGTCACCTTCCCTTTTGTCTCACGCTAGTATGCGTGTGCTGGCTCTCAGTTTGTCCATAAGGCTCTGCTTCTGTAGTCTGTTTACATTGCATGAAGACCTGTGTCTTAGGCTTGCTTGGAATGCCATTTATTCGAAAAACAACAATTCTAAAGGCTTTGACTCATCTTCTAGAAATCAGGAGGTATTTTAGGAATTGCATAGAACAGTTCAGGAATCATATATAGAAATAAATTTTTTGCTCTTCATAGTTTTTTAATAAAGTTTATCATCTCTGTTAAAGTCAATAGAGTTTTTCCATGAGGTTACAGTTGATAGTGGTATGCAAGGTAAAACAGGCTGAAAACCAGTGGAGGGTTAAGTATGTATTGTGTGTATATGGAAGGACTTGGGGAAAAATTACTGGGTACAGTGCAGTGAGATAAGAGCCAGATGGGCTACAAATGCTATGGTAAAAGATATGGTTAGAGCAAGGCACCTCAACAGTCAATCTTCATTTTGTTTTTGAAGGCCTGCTCAAACAGACTTCAGATAAAATAAGGCAAAAAGAGAAAGTAATTTATATAATAAATATAATGGTCCACCATATAAATATAATGACACCAAAGTTTGTTTCTAACAAGCTTTAGTTTCAGTGACAGGCTTTACTTTGTCTCATGTTTCACAATATACCTTTCTGTGGCCTTTACCAAAGTCTGATAGGTATTGGAGCTGGGTATTTTTGCTTTAAAAAGCAAAAAACCCGTCCTAGTCTTTAATAGAGAAATCAAAACTTTGCAGCAAATAGGATAAATACAGAGTTGTTCTGCTGTTATTGATGTTTGCCACAAATTACATTTGCTGGTTTCCTGATTGTGTCTCCAAGTAAGTTTGTGTTTAAATGCCAAGGG